GCTTCTACCCCGTCAGTTTGGCAGGATTCAGGTGGAGCACATTTTGATGATTCTGATGCCCCTGGCTTGGCTCAGGAGGTTGTGGTACTCTGAAATGATAAATTGTGGGCACATGAGCCATGGACCCTTCTGAATTTACTCTAACTCCTCTTGCAAGGTTAGACCTTACATCCTTCTTTAGAGTTACAGGCTTTAATAGCATGGCTGTGATTCTGTCATTCCTACCCTGGTGAAAGCTAGGAAGGCAACTTCAATGAAGATTTACTTGGATGTCTTATTTGCCTGGTTTTAGGCTTAGGGACTTCATCCTCGTAAGCATACCCAGGCGTTTCTCCAATTGTAGTTGGCCAGGGTCTAACCTTCAGCACAATCAAGGGTCCGTTTCAGCCTTAGCAGTCCTCTTTCAGAGACCCATTGCTTTGGATTCCTTGGTTTGTGTCTTTGTCCACTGTGACAAGGTGGTTTTATGCCCTCAGCCATCCTTTTTACCTAAGGTGGTCTCTTTGTTCCAACTTAACCAGGACATTGTATCTTCTTTCTGTCCTAAGCCTCAGGCACCAGGGGCAAGGCTCTTCATACCTTGGATGTTAGTCTGATACCTTCTTTGTGCTTCCTGAAGGCCCAAGGAATGGTCATGCAGCTTCCAAATCCACAATTTCTCAATGGATGTCATTTTATTTCTCAAGCTTTTGGTCTAAAGGGCAAAGAACCACAATTTGTGATGAGAGCGGAGGAGTGTTGGTGCTTCCTGGACTATTCGCTATCAGGCTTTGTTGGCTCAAGTTGTAAGGCTGAAACCTGGTCTTGCATTCATACTTTTATATAGTTTGAACAAGTGGATGTTTGAGCCACTGAGGACTGACCCTTGGTCAGGGAGTGTTTCAGTCTGCTGCATGAGGTTCTAAACTGTTCTGATTTAGTTGTTTGTGGCTTGTTGTCCATGTTGCCTTCACCTCATATTCAGTGCTTTTGGGATATAATTATCGTAAAGGTAATGAAGATACTGTACCCTGGTCCCTAGAATGTATGATAAAGAAACAGGATTTTACATGTAAACCAAAAATCCATTTTTTTTTCATACAGTGTATTACATTGTAACCTAGATCTTCTTGACATACATTCCTATGTACCATACAGTATGGAAAAATAAACTTTGATACTCTGCATTTTGGAGTGCCACACCTCTTTTTGGGACTTTTGTATTCTGGAGCAGGAAGAACCTGCTGTTGGAGCTCACCTATATTGGCCACATGAGATTGCTGTGCAGCTTACCCCAGTTGGCATATATGAATGCTGTATTTATTATTCATTAAGGGACATAAGGTCAGAAGGACACACAGTACAATACAACACACACATGCAAGCACTCCTGAAAACTACCCCCAAACACACTCATTATGACATGTACAGATTGTTTAATTTGCCTCTAGAGGAAGTTTAGAATGAGTGCAATCTACTTACTGAAGAAACATACAATGAACCTTACTAAAAAATGTAATCCTGATACAAATTGCCACAGAAGTCATTATCATTACATTTTTATAATGTGCAACACCTGCATGCATTGTTATTTTAGTATGCTACTCAAAATGATCTGTAATGAAGTGCAGTGAAGGGAGGGTTGACTATTAAAGTTCACTGGGCTGTATGTTTCTAATATGCCTTTACATGTACAGACCTATTTGTGGAGACTTACAGCTGGCCTGAACCTGATATTTGTTTTTTTTTCATCTGAAAGACGTGTTTTTCTCTGTGCTTGATCTGGCAACGCAACCTTATAGTGTGTACATGTAATCTCCTTTTCTGTTGCCCTTTTGCAGGTGATTAACATGTTAAAGGTTACCATCATGAGACTGCTATGTTAAAGGATAAGTTCAACTTTTTACAAAAAATAATAAATGCACATTTTTTTTTTTGCAGGTAAAAAAATGTGCATTTTTAATTTTTTGTTTCTGGAGCCTCTAAAAAAATTTCACCAGTGATCAGCAGATCGCTGGTGCCACACAGGTCTCCTGCAGAACTGTCAGTATATCTGCTTGCCTGTGTCAGTATATACTGACTGGAAGAATCAATGAACTACATCGGCACTCCACATCACAATTTTATTGAGAACTGCAAGCCAACAGTCCCAAAGGCTGTCGGGACTTGTAGTTTGTTCATTCACAGAATACCGTGAATGAATGGCGCGGCCGTGTGGGTAGAGTTTTTTTTAAATTGCTAGCAGAGAGGGTAAGATTCCCCGCTAGCTATCACAATAGGGAGCAGGGAGGAGCAGGGGCCAGTCTGTTCGTAACATGTTACATATTACACTCTGAATATGGGTGTAACATATAACATGTTATGAAAGGTAAACTTATCCTTTAAAGCGGAACTTCACCTAAAAATGAATGTTCAGCTTTTCTTCCTCCTGCCCCGTCCTCTACCACTTTTGAAACTTTTTTTTTTTTTTCTCTAGGAGCAGGTACCTATTTTAGACAGGTACTTGCTCCCACTTCCACTCTCTCGTCTCTTTTCTTATTGCATTATTTTGCTAAACATCTGTGTTTGGAACAGGATGGGGAAATACATAAAGAGTGTCATAGACACCCTTTAAAATTCCACACCGAAATTGTTGGTGCTTGCCCCAGTTTCATTTACCAGGCAGAAATGGGTACCTGAATCTGTCAGAGCAGCACTGAGGTTTAAGTGTCGTAGACAGGAGAACAGCCAAGGAGTTTTGTTTTGTAGAGTGTTTAGAGCCTGTTGGGGAACAGAACTAGTTTCCTATCAGGTCCGCCTTGGTTTTGATTGACAGCACACAGCAGTGGGTGGATTCCATATCTGCAGCTGTGGAAACCGCTTCACCGCATAGAACCCCATCTCCTAATTCATTAAACTGTTGACTAGGAGATTTGTTGGCCGAAAGCTGAGTGTAAACAAAGGGGCTGGGATACTGGTGATGTCTTTACCCAAATATGAAAACACCCATATCTGGAAAATGGTGAGTCACTGTGAAGGCAAACCAGATGAGGAATTAGCCCCTATGGCTGTGGGCCTATTGGGTGGGTGGAGCTCGGTCCTCACCAGATCCACCTTGTTTTGATTGACAGCACGTGAAATCTATATCCAGAGTTCAGAGCTGCTTTATTAAATTCCCTAGGAATCCCCCAATATACTTTTTTTTTTTATCTGTGTCAACCATCCTTGTTATATTTTTTACTATATATTGAGGATGAATTTTTAGTTGATACAATGAGAGATTATGATTCCCTCTTAAGATGTTTAGCATTTTGCTTAGCTGCATGCAAATTTTGTTTGTCAATTATCATCTACAGTTGCAAGAAAAAGTATGTGAACCCCTTGGGATTACGTGGAGTTTTGCATGAATTGGGCATAAAATGTGCTCTGAAGTCACTAAGTCACAACAATAGAACACAGTCTGCTGAACATAATACTACACAAACATTAGATGTTGCCATGGTTTAATTGCACATAACATGTAAACATTCACAGTGCAGGGAGGAAAAAGTATGTGAGGTCCTAGCTTAATGACTTCTCCCAGAGCTAATTGGAGCCAGGAGTGAGCCAACCTTGACTCCAATCAGTGTGATGATATTGGATGTGTTGCTGACAGCTGCCCTGCCCTTAAAAAACACACACCTATTTTGGGTTTACTGGTTTCAAGAAGCACTGTCTGATGTGAACCATGCCTCTCAGAAAAGAGCTCTCAGAAGACCTACGATCAAGAATTGTTGACTTGCATGAAGCTGGAAAGGGTTACAAAAGTATCTCCAAAAGCCTTGATGTTCATGTGTCCATGGTAAGACAGACTGTCTACAAATGGAGAAAGTTTAGCACTGTTGCTACTCTCCCTAGGCGTGGTCGTCCTGTAAAAATGACTGCAAGAGCACAGTGCAGAATGCTGCATGAGGTAAAGAAGAATCCCAGAGTGTCAGCTAAAGACCTGCAGAAATCTCTGGCACATGCTAACATTTTTGTTGACACATCTACAATAAGGAAAACATTAAACAAGAATGGAGTACATGGGAGGACACCACGGAGGAAGCCATTGCTGTCAAAAAACAATATTGCAGCACGTTTGAAGTTTGAAAAAGAGCACCTGGATGTTCCACAGCACTACTGGCAAAATATACTGTGGACAGATGAAACCAAGATTGAGTTGTTTGGGAAGAACACACAACACTATGTGTGGAGAAAAAAAGGCACAGCACACCAACATCAAAACCTCATCCCCACTGTAAACATGGCGGAGGGAGCATCATGGTTTGGGGCTGCTTTGCTGCCTCAGGGCCTGGACGGATTGTTGTCATTGATGGGAAAATGAATTCCAGAGTTTATCAAGACATTTTTCAGGAAAACGTACGACCATCTGTCTGCCAACTGAAGCTCCACAGAGGATGGGTGATGCAACAGGACAATGACCCAAAGCATACAAGTAATTCAACAAAACAATGGCTGCAACAGCACAGAATACGCCTTCTGGAGTGGCCCAGTCAGAGTCCTGACCTCAACCCCATTGAAATGCTGTGGCATGACCTTAAGAGAGCGATTCACACTAGACATCCCAAGAATATTGCTACACTGAAACAGTTTTGTGAAGAGAAGTGGTCCAAAATTACTCCAGATCATTGTGCAGGTCTGATCTGCAACTACAGGAAAGGTTTGGTTGAGGTTATTGCTGCCAAAGGAAGGTCAACCAGTTATTAAGTCCAAAGGTTCACATACTTTTTCCTCCCTGCACTGTGAATGTTTACATGTTATGTGCAATTAAACCATGGCAACATCTAATGTTTGTGAAGTATTATGTTCAGCAGACTGTGTTCTTCTATTGTTGTGACTTAGATGATGTTCAGAGCATATTTTATGCCCAACTCATGCAAAACTCCACGTAATCCCAAGGGGTTCACATACTTTTTCTTGCAACTGTATTAGTATAAAAATGGTTGGTAATTCATTGTAGACATTAGAAACTCCCCTAACGACCACAACTTTTTCTACAGGCAATGAATGCAAAGGCTGAAGATATCTACCTACGGCCCAAAGAATTTTACTCTCAACATGATATTGAAGTGCGGATGGGAAAAGAGGTAATCTTTGTACTCCAATAGAAATGGTATACAGTAGTCATATATTACAGTTTAAAATGAACGTATAACATCACTTACCGTAATAAAGGATAAATTCACCTTTGGGAAACATGTTACATGTTCCACCCGTTTTTAGGGTAGACTATGTAACATGTTCCCATAGCTGCAGCCACGCTCGCCGTCCCCTCGCCCCCACCCTCTGACAGTACGGGGGAACTGCTCCCCTTACTATCTGTCAGATTTGAAAACAGTGCGGCAGTACGGGGCTCTGTCCACACAGCCACGACACTCATTCACAGAGTTATGTGAATGAGTACCTACAAGTCAACTTGTAGGTTTCAATGAACTACCACGGCTCTGTGTAGTGCCATGGTAGTTCATTGAAGCTTCCTATCAGAATATCTGCTTGCTTGTACATCCTGTACAGCAAGCAGATATTCTGACAGATCTGCAGGAGACCTGCATGGCATCAGCAATCTACTGATCACTGGTGCAATGCTCTCCAGGCTCCTGCAGACAAAAAAATAAAAATACACATTTGTTTACCTGCAAAAAAATGTGCAGTTATTTTTGTCAAAAAGGTGAACTTATCTTTTTTAACCACTAGCTTAAAGGGCACTTATACCCCCTTCCTGCCCAGGCCAATTTCCAGCTTTCAGCGCACTTCAGTTGCACTTTGATTGAAAATTGCGTGGTCATGCAGCATTGTACCCATATGAAATTTTATCATTTTTTTTTATGACAGAGCTTTATTTTGGTGGTATTTAATCACCTTCTGGGTTTTTTATTTTTTCTTAAACAAACCAAAAACCACTGAAATTTTTGAAAAAAATAAACTTTTTCTTAATTTTTGGTATAATATTTTGTAAATAAGTGATTTTTCTCCTTTACTGATATGTCCTAATGAGGCTGCAGTGATGGGCACTGATAGGTGGCACTGATGAGGAGGGCACTGGCAGGTGGCACTGATGGGCATTGACAGGCATCACTGATGGGCACTGAAAGGCAACACTGATATATTGCACTGATAGGCAGCGCTGTTAGGCGGCACTGGCTGGCACTGATAGGTGGCACTGACTGGCAGCACTGATAGGTGGCACTGACTGGCAGCACTGATAGGTGGCACTGATTGGCACTGATGGGTGGCACTGAAAGGCAGCTCAGATGGGCACTGATATGTGGCATTGTGCCCTGGTAGGCACTGATGTGTGGCATTGATGTGGCACTGATGGGCACTGGCACGAGGCACTGATGAGCACAGACACAAGGCACTGATGGACACTGACAGGTGGCGCTGCTGGGGCTACACTGATCATCAGGGCACACTGATCATCAGTGCCCTGATGATCAGTGTACATGTCCCCTCCGCAGAATGGTGAATACCGGCTCTCCTCTCCTCTCAAGCTGTCAGCGTGACCGCTTGAGAGGAGAGAAATGCCGATAACCGGCATTTCCCTGTTTTTACATGTGATCAGCTGTGATTAGACACAGCTGATCACATGACCGAGCCGATATCTTCCGAGGGACACAGCGCACTGCTGATCGCCATGCTGCGCGCTCCCTGAGAATGGTGAGACTGGAAGGACGTCATATGATCTCCAAGAACGAGAGAACCACCTTGCGTCCGTCATATTACTATATGGCGGGCAGAAGGTGGTTAAAGGATAAGTCACCTTTTAACAAAAAATAATAAATGCACATTTTTTTTTTCAGGTGAAAAAATGTGCATTTACTATTTTCTCTTTTGGGAGCCTGGAAAGCATTGCACCAGTAATCAGTAGATCACTGGTGCCATGCAGGACTCCTGCAGATACACACTGACAGGAAGAATCACTGAACTACCACAGCGCTGAACAGAGCCATAGTGGTTTATTGAGAACTACAAGCTGACAGCGGCAAACGCTGTCAGAACTTGTAGTTTTCACATTCACAGAATACTGTGAATGATTGATGCGGCCAGGTAGGCGGAGGCCTGAGTGGCCACATTTAAAAAAAAAAAATAGTGACAGCTAGTGGGGGGGAGAGAAGATCCAATAGGTATATTTGACAATCCAATATTAAATCGGGTACACACATACTAAACTGGTTCAGCAGGACCCAGCGAACCTTCAGTATATGTGTATTCCTCTTCAATCAGCATCCGATCAGTATATTTTGGCAGTGGGGGGGAGGGTGGCTCTGCTCTTTATTTTCAAGTGGGTGTGTATTTTGGTTGTGTTTTTACAGTCCTGGCATTTTTATTTGACATTCTTTATTACACAAAGTAAGCAAAAACATTTTTTCAACATTTTCAGTCTGTTTACCTTTTTTATATAGTAAAATATCACTGGAAGCATTGGAAACTGAAAAATTGCCTGGTAATTAAGGGGGTATATACAGGCTGGTATTTGGCTAAAATAATCAGCTTGTGCATGGGATACTCAAAATTTTCTGTTAATATTCAATATTTAGAATTCAATTTTTAATATTTAAAAAAAGTGAAATGTTAAGGAGTCTACATTTGTAGTGGACATTTCACTAGGGGTTTTCTTCCCCTACTGAGGAGTCTGCAGATATGCATGTTTCAAATACCAGAAGACTTGTCACTGATTTTGTCTTTAATCAGGATGAACTCTTTGTAATGTTCTGGGCCTAGCATGTGGAACCTTTTCAGAGAATTGTGGAGAATGTTGGCTAAGGGCAGGCTGCGGAAGTCAGCCTGATAGATTGGTCTGTATGTGAAGTCTGTAAATGCTTTTTTTTACCATTTTTTTTGAGAAGGTTGATGGGGAGAAAAGATGCATAGTTTTTGTTTTAAACTACATTACCAAAAAGAATGATGTATTACGAGATCAAATATATATCTAAAGTGGACCTCTCTCCACTTTTACTAAAATTCAAATCTCTGCATGCTAATGTGAAATAAGCGAACGCTGTTTTTTAAACAGTTTACGAAAAAAAAAAAAAAACGTTTTTTCACTTAACCAGTTTGGGACTGCCTCCCGCAGATTTACTGTGGCTGAGCTGCTCCGCTGCGCCAAATCACGTGCATGTACACGATCTGGCTTCCCTGGGTCGTTCGCTACAGCACAAGCTGATCAGTGGGTCCCAGCCAATGATTTATGCCGGGACCCACTGAACAAATGACAGAAGTGAGCCCTGTGTTGGTAAACTACAGAGTGCAATGATGTGGCTGTTTTTCTTCCCTGCAAAGCAGTGAGATGAAACAGTCCCATTGCTTAGTAAAAGCAGCACACTATATGCACATTACACTTGTTAGGCACACAGATAACCATTTGATTACCCATAGATGGTAACCCCTTCCCAGCCAGTGTTATTAGTACAGTGACCGTGTACAAGGGATGTACAAAATTGATACACCAGGTAAAAGAACAAAATCGTTACCCAATATGGTGTTTGAACCACCTTTGGCATCCAAGACAGCCTGAATTCTCCTGGTAACTTGGTAAACTCTGACATGACTCCGTATAATACTAGCAGCACACTCAGTGAATGACAAAAGTGAGGCTTCCCACCTGTTAACTAGGTGTCTCATTACATAGCGGAAGCAAAAGAATGTTACATCAATTCTACATTCAATGCAAAACATCATCACTTTCACCTTTTCACCTGTAAATAATGTAGTGTTTCCATATTTTTGTCCAACCTGTATATTAGCATTGATCACTGTAATAGCATCACTGGCGATACCAGTGTCATTGAACTAGTTCCCACCCAGTGTTAGTATCAGATTGTCCGGTGCACTATCACAGTCCCGCTATAAATCACTGATCGCTGGCATTTCTAGTATTAAAAAAAATAAAAACTCCTCCAGTATATGCACCTTCGTTTGTAAATGCTATACCTTTTCAAGCAAATTAATATACACTTATTGGGATATTTTTTTTTTTAACCAAAGACATGTAGCAGAATACATTTTGGCCTAAATTTTATGAGGAAATTTTAGATTTTTTTTTTAATTTGTTTTTAATTGGATATGTTTTATATCAGAAAGTAAAAAAATATTGTTTTCTTTTCACAATTTTCACTTTTTTTTCATTTATTTAATAAAAATGAAAAACCCAGTGGTGATCAAATACCACGAAAAGAAAGCTCTATTTGTGTGGGAAAAAAATGATATAAATTTCATTTAGGTACAGCATTTCATAACTGCGCAATTACCAGTTAAATTAGTGCTGTGCCGAATAGCATAAAATGGCCTGCTCATGAATGGGGTAAAACCTTCCAGAGCTTAAGTGGTTAATTTCCTGGTTTCCTTGAAGGCACTGGTAGTATAGCCCTGACCACACACAGATTCCCCCTGGGAAGACGACAAGCAACATCACCGTTGCCCTCAGGGAAATCTCGTACCTAAGCTGCGAGATCTTGCGGTATTCTCATAATTTCCACTTTGATATGATATGCACGACTTCATGTACTTCATCTTGCACGTGTGCCATATGGCGTTAAACTCATTTGTTGTTTAAAAAAAACTTAAAAAAACAGATGATTGTAATGCTGTATAGCAAATGTGCTCTATCTCATGCATGCATATTATAACATACATTTTCAAAATTTCAGCAAGGGAGTAGGGATGTAGGCTGCAGAAGGGCAGGCTGAAAGGCACACTAAAAAAGAGAAAAGCAGTATGAATATAGTACAGTGTTTTTATACTGTATTCTGTATTAGATAATCTTAGATAATCTTGCCATTTTTTGTAGAGGGGTGGGGGCGGTCCTCTTTAAGTGACTTGACAACGTGACTTTTCTAGCTCCCTACTATTCTGTAGCTTACAATATGGAAGCCAGTTGTACATGCTTCATATTTTTTACACTTTTTTGTGTTTTTCTAATCTTATTATAGGACTCCCTTTTTTTTCTGTAGACCTTTTTAACATGCAGTATGACTGCCCTCTTGTGGATACAGCTACTAAAGTCTTGGTAGACAGGAAAACACTTTGTGCCCCATAAGAGACTGTGTCCCACAGATGACATAGTAAGGTACAAATGATGAAATGTTCCTATATTTTGAGATATAATTCCAAAATTGTATATTTATGTTGCCATGCAGGCAGTTTCAGTCAACACAGATGAAGCCAGGGTGAAATTTAGAGATGGATCATTCCTTCAGTACAGCCAACTTCTAATTGCTACTGGAAGCAGGTAAAAATACAAACATACAAAAATATATATAATGTATGTATATTTGCATATTTTGTCTTGCAACAATATTCAAGTGCTTGATATTTTTTTTTTTTATCGAATAATAAAACCCATGACACTTGTCTTAAAGCATTGAGACTAAAAATGATTTTTTTATTTTTAGAAATCCTTAAAGCGGTAGTAACCTAAAAAAAAAATATATATATTTTCCCCTGCAAGGTAATGTCATAATGTGCTAGTATTTATACTAGCACATTACGAAAGACTTACCCGAGAAGGAAGCCCTCTAGCAGCACACTGTCACCGTAGCGGCTTCCATCTTCACCCGATCTTCCTTCTGGGTTTCTGGGCTGCGGCCATGAGCGTAGAGCTATGGCTGTGGCACACAGCTCTGAAGGAATGGGAATGCCATTCCTTCAGAGCGCATTTGTTGGTGATGTCACCAGCTGCCACACACTAGAATATGTCCTAAACATGCAGCACTTTATTATAAGCTTACCTGTAGGTAAAAGTATAAAAAAATGAGTTTACTGCCACTTTAAACCTGAAACTGATAAGCAAACATAGTCTAAATACAATAGCCATATGTATTCATCCTTGAATCTAGGGTGCTTTAAGTATTTCTTCCAGATATATGCAGTAATCCAGTGTGAAACTTGCCTCTGTGCAGAAGCTTCCTGTAATAAAGACCAGTCACTGTTGCTCTCCCATCATGTATAGGATGACTGGTCTTGTCTCTGCCTAGTCCTGTAGTTTTCTGCTGGCAGCTTGTAGAGGGTGAAGCTGCTGCCAACTCCCCCCAGGTACTACAAAATAGTAATTGGGTTTGCAAAGGTGTTTAGTGCTCGCAAAGTGAATTTATATCCTCTGTGGCCATTGAGGAATGTATTAAAAATTGCCCAGTTTAGCTTTAAAATAAACCTATACTATGAAAAATAAGGAGGTTACTGGTGTTGACCACTTTAAAAAAAAAAAAACTACTTCTCTGGCCATCTCTGACTTATTTTACATGTTCTGGGTCAGTGACGTGAGCTGTAAGGGATACCAAATGAATCGATGACCAGATCAGTGGGTTACACTTCAGGAAACTGGAATCAAACTGAGTATGATTTTAAATAAAGTTTATTCATGTACACAATATCTATCCAACACCAACAGACCATAAGCAAAGCAAAAGTAAAAATAAATGTGACAGTGAAGCAAAACCAAACCAACAACCCTAACTATAACACAATGTATACAAATGGAGGGAAGCTCACATTAACAGGGCATGACCAGGAGTGGAACTGGGAACAAGGGAAAAGATCTGTGATAACAGGACACTTGATGCAATATACAGGATCAGGATAACCAACAAGCAGGTATATGGTCAACAAGCAAGACACTGAAGCACTGATGAAAATCAATGAAAGGGTTACATACCTTCCCAGCAGCCAGCATCAGGTGAAGCCTAATTATTGGGATTTGATGGCTGCTGGAAGACACCTGCTGGTGGCCATCTGAATTGCACCCTTCAGCTCTGGGAACCACAGTGCCACCAGCAGGTAATCCTGGTCCTGGCAGTTTCCCACCCTCTTAAAACTTTTGTAAAGGCTTTCTTTTTTCTAAAATAATAAACATGTTATACTTACCTGCTCTGTGCAGTGGTATTGCACAAAGCGGCCCCGAACCACCTCCTTTAGGGTCCCCTTCCGCTCTAGGCTCCTTCTCTTCTTTCTGTGTACCCATAGCAAACTACTTGCTATGGGGACACACCTATGGACTTGATTCCGAGCAAGGCAATGTGTGTCTATTGATAATTGATACACACAGTGCAGCTTGGCCCCGCCCTGCCCCCTTCTCTCTGCTTACAGGATTTGATTGGCAGCAGCAGGAGCCAATGTCTTCTGCTGCTGCCTGTGTGAGAGGCACTGCAGATGGGTGTGGCGCTGGATCGAGATAGGATTCAGGGAAGTGAGGGGGTGATACTGCTACTGAGACATTTTTTTACCTTAATGCAGTGAATGCATTAAGGTAAATGTCTACCCTTTAGAACTACTCCCCATCATCCATGTCTGTAAACGTGCTTTATTTCCCTAGGCCAGTGGTGGGCAACCTTTTTTTTCAACTGAGCCAAATCTCGCCAAAACCACGATTGAAATTTATTTTGAGAGCCACATTTTTAAAACTGAAAATACATAGGATGGTACACTGTTTTTAGTTTCAATAAGTTTTTAATTTAGTAATTTATCCCCCATAGTAATTCATCCCCCATATAGTAATTCATCCCCCATATAGTAATTCATCCCCCCTAGTAATTCCCCCCATATAGTAATTAATCCCCCATATAGTAATTCATCCCCCCTATAGTAATTCATCCCCCCTCCCCCCCTATAGTAATTCATCCCCCCTATAGTAATTCATCCCCCCTATAGTAATTCATCCCCCATAGTAATTCATCCCCCCTATATAGTAATTCATCCCCCCTATAGTAATTCTTCCCCCATAGTAATCATCCCTCATATAGTAATTCATCCCCCATATTAATTCATCCCTCATATAGTAGTAGTAAGTAAGTAGCAAGTAGTAAGCCAAGTCCCCCCTGTGTCAATTTACTTACCTTTGCTCCGCGCGTTCCTCTCGCCGTGTTCCCGCGCCGTTCCGGTCTTCAGGGCGGACTGTGAGAAGAGCCTAGCTCCTCTTACGTTCGTCACGCTGCCCCCGCCTACACACATCCTGACAGCCAATCACTGGCTATCAGGATGTGAGTGGCAGCGAGACTGGCCAATCATTGCATTTGAGCACGCTGCCCTGGCTGTTTTTTTTTTTTTGGATCACGCTGCAGAGTCCCTGCCGCCCGAGAGGAGGGAGGGGAGCGGGCGCCCGGCACACAAGAGCCGCATTAAAGCGTGTAAAGAGCCGCATGTGGCTCGCGAGCCGCGGCTTGCCGACCACTGCCCTAGGCTATAGTCCTTCAACCTACAGGATACGCTTCTGCCAGGACCTGACTACTGGCTGGGTAACCCAGCAGCAGACACAAGACCATCAGAGGAAAGCTGGATTGGAGTGGCAGGCATCAGATCAGGCCGGAACAGGTTAGCAGGCATCTGATCAGGCCGGACCGGGTTAGGAGGCATCGAATCAGGCTGGACCGGGGTAGCAGGCATCGGATCAGGCTGGACCTGGGTAGCAGGCATCGGATCAGGCTGGACCGGGTTAGCAGGCATCTGATCAGCCGGACCGGTTTAGCAGGCATTGAATCAGGCTGGATCGGGGTAGCAGGCATCGGATCAGGCTGGACCGGGGTAGCAGGCATCGGATCAGGCTGGACTGGGGTAGCAGGCATCGGATCAGGCTGGACAGGGGTAGCAGGCATCGGATCAGGCTGGACTGGGGTACCGGCATTGAATCAGGGATAGCAGGCATCGGATCAGGCTGCATCGGATCAGGCTGGACTGGGGTAGGAGGCACCGGATCAGGCTGGACTGACATGGAGCCAGGGACTGGCACAGGATCTGGCTGAATTGTGGTAGCAGCTGGAGTAGACAATGGCAGAATTGCATGGGTTGGGAAGCACTCATTTCTTTTCTTTTGGACAATGGAACCCTGCAAGTGATTGCAAGGCTCCAAGCAGATTGGAGCCCTGCAATGCAGAGAGAATATAGCTATGGGGAGCAGGGTGCTGATATACAGGAAGTAAGGGGTCCTTAGTAGAAGCTTTCGTTGCCAAGGGAAGTGAAGGAAGAGATTCTTGTCTAGAGATAGAATTAATTGGTGTGAACCAACCGAGACTGGGGATAGTATCTCTGACCAGGCCTAGAGTAGGGGCTGAACAAAATTTAGTTTGCATTCATTTACTGTCCAGTGCAGCTGAGGCTGCAGAGAGAGACTGATGAATATATGTCCTCCGTCCCTTTCTCTGTTTCAAATGCGAGACATCAGGGACTTGTTTAGACACCTGATATTTCACCAAAAAGCTCTTCAACAGGCCAGTTTAAAAAAAAAAAAAGTTCAAAAAGAATTACAATTCTAAAAAAAAAATTGAAAAACAAATTAAGTACTGTTTGAAATGTGCTTTGCTCTCCAAAGAGCAGTCAGCATTTGGATCGCTATTCAGAGGGCATTTGACAGGCATTGAGGAAGCGTATTGCCTCCTCACTGCCTTCTTTAACCCCACACTAGCGCACTTGGTTTGGGGCGCTTGTAGAGCAGTGCTATTCACCTGAATGGGTCTTGTTCGATGATTGTATAATTTATACCTTGTTGCATTGCGTCTGTGGCGTTTTAGCGAAATATAATTTGATATTCTCAGATGTCTGTCAGGTAGGCTTTACAGGGCCCCGTGATTTCAAACAGCAGCTTTGTGATTGAGCTCTTTTGTAAAAACCCCCTATGCTGTGACTGTGCATATTGGGTGTGCCTGTCTGGCCTCTCCAATGTCACTAGCGGTCCTCTAACTTATACAGTGAATCTCCCCACAGTGGATCTGGTCAGTACACAGAGCCTGTGAATGCATTGAAATAGTATAGGAAAACAAGAGGCTTATGCAGATGTGCCACCTCCCCTAGATTGAGTAGTGATGGTGGGTTCCTAACGTGGAGCTCAGGCAGAGCTCTTTTGTTTGCGTCCCTCTGCGGGCTCTGGATTTACAGCACCTGTAAAAATGAGAATGTGTACTTTGTTCCCTGGGGGACTGGTGGAATAAAATATTTTTTATGGTGAGTCTTTTTAAACATTAAAAATGAAAAATACGTTACAAAAGGATTGATTTTGAAGTGTTTTGAAGTGTTACTAAACCCACAACAGTAAAATCAGTCAGTATATGTAGTAAAGCATGCTCGTTATACTCACTGTGGAACCTAAGGGGTTAATCCTCTGCATTGTGTAAAATGGCTGTTTGATCCTGTCTTCTCTGAGTTTTTTTTTTTTCTTTGGAGAGTATATGGGCCAATCCGCACTGTTCAAGCAGAGGGTCAGGGGTTATGCGGCCTCAAGGGACAGTCAGAGCCGAATGAAAAAAC